CACCGACTACCAGAGAGCGCATCCTCAGGCACCATCGCCTGTCAAACATTATATATGTTGCGCTTGTTAGGCTACAGTGGGTTAGCCTATATGGGGTACACAATTCTAGGGTTTGCTTTTTGTACTGATTTCTCTGTTAGTTCAATCATTCCAGTCTCGTAATCTTGACATGGTATCAGAGAACCGGGTTACTTCCTTGCTCGAGAGCTGCAGCAGCGCGGTCAGCTTTGTATTCGCTATGTGGCCACTGAGGCCAACACTGCTGATGTGTTCACCAAGGCGCTTCAGCCTCGTGACCATCAGCGCTTCTGCACTCTACAGGCCTTGTGCCTCTCAGGACGTCACTTTTGACGAGTCCGTCCCCTACTACTACCCCTACTACCGCCTCTTCCCCTACCGCACTGCCCCGCTCCCCCCCCCGCCTCTCTTCCTCGCTCCAGGTGCTGAGGTACCAGACCCCCTCCCCCCTCAGGGTGCCGCTCCCTCAGGTGTGTCCCAGGTAGACCCGGGTGAGCCTGTCGAGGTAGCTGTTGACTCTCGTCCTGCTCGGGGTGCTGAGCCTGGGGGTGCTGCGTCTGGGGGTGCTGAGCCTGGGGGTGCTGAGCCTGGGAGTGCTGGGTCTGGGGGTGCGGAGCCTGGGGGTGCTGAGCCAGGAGGTGCGGAGCCTGGAGGTGCGGAGCCTGGAGGTGCTGAGCCTGGGGGTGCTGCGTCTGGGGGTGCTGAGCCTGAGCGTGCTACACCTGGAGGAGCCCTCTCCTCCCAGCAGCTGCAGGAGAGGTACCTCGAGTACTGCCGCCTCCGGAGAGGTGCTGCTGGAGCTCGTCCCGGTACTTCCTCTCCTACCCAGGAGCTCCCCCCCATTCAGCAGATCCGCGAGTGGTACACACGGCGCTGCAGTCTTCGGAGTGGTGCTCCTGGTGCTGCGGACCCTGGGGGTGGCGCTGCAGCTGGTGCTGAGGACCCGGACGTTGGAGCTGCTGCTGGTGCTGCGGACCCGCCTGGTGGAGCTGCTGCTGCTGCTGAGGACCCGGGCGTTGGAGCTGCTACTGGTGCTGAGGACCCGGCTGGTGGAGCTGCTGCTGGTGCTGTTGACCCGGCCGCTGGAGTCTCCTCTGCTTCTGGAGACGCTGCGCGGCCGCGACCGTACTTCGTACCGCTCCTTCAGCAGGTTCTTGGGCAGGCTCCTCCTCCTTGTCCTCCTCCCTCCGTAGAGTGTCCTCTGCCTGTCCAGTCGCAGTCACAGTTACCGCCTACCTCGCCTCTCCCTGCTCCCTCTCCTTACACTGGTCCCACAGGAGGTCTTACAGAGCGTCGTGAGCCTGAGTCTCGTCCTGCGTCGCCTGTCCGTCCTGCTCGCACTGGTAGTCGTGTCCGTCGTGAGCGTCCTCCTCCTGTCCCAGGCACTCACTACATGACTTTGCGTCCTCTCTACTGCGTCTTCTTTGCCTCACGTTCCGGACCCTGAGTCTGACCGGTACCGTGCTGAGCACCCTACTGTCACGCGTCTCCTCGCTACTGTTGTCACTGACCCTACCTTTGAGTCCTCGACTGCGTCTGCTCTGGTCGCTGAGTTGGTTGACTTTGCTGCTGCCTGTCGTCTAGACTACGCTGCTAGCCTTGTTGCTGAGTCTGAGTCTGAGTCTGTCTGTCCTCCGTCCGTCGGGGGTGAGTGTGCTCTTGGCACGGACGTCCTTGAGGACAGACAGGAGGAGTTCCAGTGTCTTGCTGCTGCTTTGCCCCGTCTTGTGTCCTTGCTAGTTGCCCCTGAGGGAGACCCGGATGCACCAGACATCCCGACCCCGCGCACTTACGCTGAGGCGATGGCGGGTCCCTACTCCTCTCAGTGGCAGACAGCCATGGACGCCGAGATGGCTTCCTGGAAGTCCACAGGCACCTACGTCGACGAGGTTCCCCCACCTGGGGCGAACATCGTCAGTGGCATGTGGATTTTCAGGGTGAAGCGGCCGCCGGGTTCTCCGCCTGTCTTCAAGGCGCGTTACGTGGCTCGAGGCTTCAGTCAGCGAGAGGGAGTTGATTTCTTCCAGACCTTCTCCCCCACCCCGAAGATGACTACTCTTCAGGTGCTGCTGCACATAGCCGCTCACCGCGACTACGAGCTTCACTCACTTGACTTCAGCACTGCTTTCTTGCAGGGCAGCCTGCACGAGGGGATCTGGCTGCGCCGCCCACCTGGCTTCACTGGGTCGTTTCCTCCTGGTACCCAGTGGAGGCTTCAGCGGCCGGTCTACGGTCTCCGCCAGGCTCCGCGTGAGTGGCACGACACACTGAGGACTACACTTGCGGCTCTTGGGTTCGCGCCTTCTACAGCTGACCCGTCGCTGTTCCTGCGCACCGACACTTCGCTGCCGCCGTTCTACATCCTCGTGTACGTCGACGACTTGGTCTTTGCCACTGCTGACACTGCAGGACTCGCCTACGTGAAGTCGGAGCTGCAGAGGAGACACACGTGCACAGACCTGGGTGAGCTGACAAGCTATCTTGGCTTGCGGATCACCCGGGACAGAGCACGGCGCACCATCACCTTGACTCAGTCACACATGGTGCAGCAGGTTCTCCAGCGCTTTGGCTTCACGTACTCCTCGCCTCAGTCCACTCCTCTGCCTACCGGTCACTCGCTCTCAGCTCTGCCTTCGGATGAGTCCGTAGAGCCGAGTGGCCCGTATCCAGAGCTTGTGGGCTGCCTCATGTACCTGATGACCTGCACTCGACCTGACCTTGCATACCCTCTTAGCATCCTTGCACGCTATGTCGCTCCTGGCCGTCACAGGAAGGAGCACATGGATGCCGCTAAGAGGGTGTTGCGCTACTTGTGCAGTACGTCGGGCATGGGGCTTGTGCTTGGAGGGCGAGACCGAGTTGTACTCACAGGGCACTCAGACGCTTCTTGGGCAGACGACCAGGCCACTCAGCGGTCGTCTCAGGGTTACACCTTCAGCCTTGGCTCTGGCTCAGTTTCTTGGCGCTCTACACGCTCTTCTTCTGTTCTCGGCTCCAGTTGCGAGGCTGAGATCTACGCTACAGCCATGGCTGCCCAGGAGCTGCGCTGGCTGACCTACCTGCTGACTGACCTCGGAGAGCCGCCTCGTTCTCCTCCAGTACTGTACGTCGACAACAAGGCTGCCATTGCCTTGTGTGAGGAGCACAGACTGGAGCACAGAACGAAGCACATCGCCCTGCGGTACTTCCTTGCTCGAGAGCTGCAGCAGCGCGGTCAGCTTTGTATTCGCTATGTGGCCACTGAGGCCAACACTGCTGATGTGTTCACCAAGGCGCTTCAGCCTCGTGACCATCAGCGCTTCTGCACTCTACTAGGCCTTGTGCCTACTGGACCTCACTTATGGTCACGAAGGCCTAGTAGAGTGCAGAAGCGCTGATGGTCAGTGGTTATGACACAAGGCCTAGTAGAGTGCAGTGGTTATGACACAAGGCCTAGTAGAGGAACCACAAGGCCTTATGAACCAATAGGAACGAAGAGAAGGAAGTCAAACTGAAGAGACCAAATTCAAAATGTCAACGGATAAGTTCCAATTTGTTTTATAAGCCTAATTTTGCTAGCTGCGAATTGACGAAACCTGTGCGAAATGCAAAATCACTTAAGCGCCCTCTTCACACGGCAACCATGGGAGACCCAAACGAGCATCAGGTGTAGTCTGTCGAACGGAGCCGCAGTGTCGCGTATCTTGAGGCACCAGCACTCGTGACTGTTAAAGCCGGGGTGCAGATATCGCTGCGCCAGTTCAAAGTATTATAGCTTGAAAGGCGCGTTACCCAGTATACACTGGAAGTTGAGCAGGCACAGCTTTCTGAAAGCGGGGAGGGTCGTGCGGAAAAAGTGCCTCGCAGCATTATGAGTGGGGGGAAGGCTGGGGAGGGATTGCGGAAAAGCTCCGCACAACTGCATGAAGCGGGGGCCAGGCATCAAACTTGAAACTTGAAACTTGAACTCAAAATTACTCAAACTCGACGAATCTCTCGCGCTAGGCAAGATTGCTACTAACTTCAAGTGCCTTCCCGTAGGGCTAGTGAGAGCCATTCGCCTCAGATCTATCGTTCTTCTTCGCCTCTACCAGTGCGCTCGATCATCTGCGCTATTTCGTACCTCAAAAACAACACGGCAGTCGTACCCGTAGCGCATTGCGCTCGATAACCTCCGCTGTCGTCGTTCTGGTGTTCCCTCTGCCGTCCCTCCATTTCTCGCGAATCGGCGGTGGCAAGCAGCGACGATGGCGACAACCAGGATTGGGTGCGACGATAGCCAGCATCAGATCGACGATAAAGAGCAGCGCGGCGATGGTAGCATGCACGGGTGCGACGTCAGCGAGCACCATGGCGACGTTAGCGAGCAGCGGGCGAAGTGACTGTTCCTCGGTAGCGAAGCACCTCACATCCCGCTCTTTCTCGCCCCGTCCCACTGCGCAAGATTCGCATCCGTCAGAGAGCCACGCAGCCCAACGCCGTCAGCCTGTTGTACTTTACAAGCCGCTCCGCCACGTCAGCGTCACACGGAAGCACCGCTAGGAGACCCGACGCCGCGGCAAACCGACTTCGAGCGCATTTGACAGGACATGTAAGGGGCAATCGGAGCGAAAGGTGGTCCAAAGTTGGCTGGTAACCTCCTCGTCGAGTCGTGCGAGCGTTTCACGGCGCGGCGGAGGGCCTCCACAGGCGGGAGCGGACAGCGCGCGGGGATGGCGGCGGGAGCTGCAGCGGGAATTGCTGCAGGAACGCGGGGAGTGTCGGAGTGGACTGGGGCTGAGGACGCGCGGAATCTGGGGAGGGGATTGCGCTTGCGGCGTGAAACGGCGGAGCATTCCAAGGAAGGGAGGCGCGGCATGTGTGTTGACGTCGCATGGCGAGCGCGGGAGACACTGCTCCAAAATCGCGCCACATGACACGGCATAAGGAACAGGGGAAGGGAGGTGACCGGATGATAGGATAGGCTAAGCGTCGTATCGAGGAGAGTCGCTGGAGGGGGGAGGATGAGAGGAAGCGCAGGCGTTTCCCGCTGCCTGTAACGAGTCCGCGAAGAACGGAAAGCCTATCGCGGGAAGTGGCTCCATGGCGGGAGAGGTAGGGAGGAATGCGCGAAAGTGCGTGTGGTCTGTGGTGGGCGAGTTGAAGTGGAGTGCCTTCTCCATTCCCCCTGTCCTTTTACCCCTTTTCACCTGTCCCCCTTCTCCTTTCCCCCTGTCCTTCACCCCCTTACCCCCTGTCCCCCTTCTCCTTTCCCCCTGTCCTTCTCCCCCTTTTCACCTGTCCCCCTTCTCCTTTCCCCCTGTCCTTCTCCCCCTTTTCACCTGTCCCCCTTCTCCTTTCCCCCTGTCCTTCTCCCCCTTTTCACCTGTCCCCCTTCTCCTTTCCCCCTGTCCTTCTCCCCCTTTTCACCTGTCCCCCTTCTCCTTTCCCCCTGTCCTTCTCCCCCTTTTCACCTGTCCCCCTTCTCCTTTCCCCCTGTCCTTCACCCCCTTACCCCCTGTCCCCCTTCTCCTTTCCCCCTGTCCTTCACCCCCTTTTCCCCTGTCCCCCTTCTCCTTTCCCCCTGTCCTTCTCCCCCTTTTCACCTGTCCCCCTTCTCCTTTCCCCCTGTCCTTCACCCCCTTACCCCCTGTCCCCCTTCTCCTTTCCCCCTGTCCTTCACCCCCTTTTCCCCTGTCCCCCTTCTCCTTTCCCCCTGTCCTTCACCCCCTTTTCCCCTGTCCCCCTTCTCCTTTCCCCCTGTCCTTCACCCCCTTTTCTGCTGTCCCCCTTCTCCTTTCCCCCTGTCCTTCTCCCCCTTTTCACCTGTCCCCCTTCTCCTTTCCCCCTGTCCTTCTCCCCCTTTTCACCTGTCCCCCTTCTCCTTTCCCCCTGTCCTTCTCCCCCTTTTCACCTGTCCCCCTTCTCCTTTCCCCCTGTCCTTCTCCCACTTTTCACCTGTCCCCCTTCTCCTTTCCCCCTGTCCTTCTCCCCCTTTTCACCTGTCCCCCTTCTCCTTTCCCCCTGTCCTTCACCCCCTTACCCCCTGTCCCCCTTCTCCTTTCCCCCTGTCCTTCACCCCCTTTTCCCCTGTCCCCCTTCTCCTTTCCCCCTGTCCTTCTCCCCCTTTTCACCTGTCCCCCTTCTCCTTTCCCCCTGTCCTTCACCCCCTTTTCCCCTGTCCCCCTTCTCCTTTCCCCCTGTCCTTCTCCCCCTTTTCACCTGTCCCCCTTCTCCTTTCCCCCTGTCCTTCTCCCCCTTTTCACCTGTCCCCCTTCTCCTTTCCCCCTGTCCTTCTCCCCCTTTTCACCTGTCCCCCTTCTCCTTTCCCCCTGTCCTTCTCCCCCTTTTCACCTGTCCCCCTTCTCCTTTCCCCCTGTCCTTCACCCCCTTACCCCCTGTCCCCCTTCTCCTTTCCCCCTGTCCTTCACCCCCTTTTCCCCTGTCCCCCTTCTCCTTTCCCCCTGTCCTTCTCCCCCTTTTCACCTGTCCCCTTCTCCTTTCCCCCTGTCCTTCACCCCCTTTTCCCCTGTCCCCCTTCTCCTTTCCCCCTGTCCTTCACCCCCTTTTCACCTGTCCCCCTTCTCCTTTCCCCCTGTCCTTCACCCCCTTCACCCCCTGTCCCCCTTCTCCTTTCCCCCTGTCCTTTCCCCCCTTTTCCCCTGTCCCCCTTCTCCTTTCCCCCTGTCCTTCCCCCTTTTCACCTGTCCCCCTTCTCCTTTCCCCCTGTCCTTCTCCCCCTTTTCACCTGTCCCCCTTCTCCTTTCCCCCTGTCCTTCTCCCCCCCCTTTTCACCTGTCCCCCTTCTCCTTTCCCCCTGTCCTTCTCCCCCTTTTCACCTGTCCCCCTTCTCCTTTCCCCCTGTCCTTCCCCCTTTTCACCTGTCCCCCTTCTCCTTTCCCCCTGTCCTTCTCCCCCTTTTCACCTGTCCCCCTTCTCCTTTCCCCCCCTGTCCTTCCCCTGTCCCCCTTCTCCTTTCCCCCTGTCCTTCTCCCCCTTTTCACCTGTCCCCCTTCTCCTTTCCCCCCCTGTCCTTCTCCCCCTTTTCACCTGTCCCCCTTCTCCTTTCCCCCTGTCCTTCTCCCCTTTTCACCTGTCCCCCTTCTCCTTTCCCCCTGTCCTTCTCCCCCTTTTCACCTGTCCCCCTTCTCCTTTCCCCCTGTCCTTCACCCCCTTTTCCCCTGTCCCCCTTCTCCTTTCCCCCTGTCCTTCTCCCCCTTTTCACCTGTCCCCCTTCTCCTTTCCCCCTGTCCTTCACCCCCTTTTCCCCTGTCCCCCTTCTCCTTTCCCCCTGTCCTTCACCCCCTTACCCCCTGTCCCCCTTCTCCTTTCCCCCTGTCCTTCTCCCCTTTTCCCCTGTCCCCCTTCTCCTTTCCCCCTGTCCTTCTCCCCCTTTTCACCTGTCCCCCTTCTCCTTTCCCCCTGTCCTTCACCCCCTTTTCCCCTGTCCCCCTTCTCCTTTCCCCCTGTCCTTCTCCCCCTTTTCACCTGTCCCCCTTCTCCTTTCCCCCTGTCCTTCACCCCCTTTTCCCCTGTCCCCCTTCTCCTTTCCCCCTGTCCTTCACCCCCTTACCCCCTGTCCCCCTTCTCCTTTCCCCCTGTCCTTCACCCCCTTTCCCCTGTCCCCCTTCTCCTTTCCCCCTGTCCTTCTCCCCCTTTTCACCTGTCCCCCTTCTCCTTTCCCCCTGTCCTTCACCCCTTTTCTGCTGTCCCCCTTCTCCTTTCCCCCTGTCCTTCTCCCCCTTTTCACCTGTCCCCCTTCTCCTTTCCCCCTGTCCTTCACCCCCTTACCCCTGTCCCCTTCTCCTTTCCCCCTGTCCTTCTCCCTTTTTCACCTGTCCCCCTTCTCCTTTCCCCCTGTCCTTCACCCCCTTACCCCTGTCCCCCTTCTCCTTTCCCCCTGTCCTTCACCCCCTTTTCCCCTGTCCCCCTTCTCCTTTCCCCCTGTCCTTCTCCCCCTTTCCACCTGTCCCCCTTCTCCTTTCCCCTCTCCTTCTCCCCCTTTTCCCCTGTCCCCCTTCTCCTTTCCCCCTGTCCTTCACCCCCTTTTCCCCTGTCCGGGTGAGCAGCGGTGCCACGCTGACGGCGCTGTAGGTGCTGGCAGCAGCAGCAGAGCGGATGGGAGAGCAGCACATGGGCGAGCTGGCGGAGGTGAGGGAGGCGGTGCCTGCGGCGGTGGAGTAGATGTCCACGCTGCCCCGCAGCACACCCCCCATCCGCCTCTCCCTGCCGCATCACATGCCCTCACGTGCTGTCTTCCTCGGGGCCTCCCTCGCAACCACCGCCCTGCTCCCGCTGCGCGTCACCTTCCTCAACGACCCAGCGCCCCCCTGCCCCGCTTTCAGTTTTGTATGCTATCGCCGTTCCAAGGGACGGATGGTGGTCGCAAAGGCAGACACGTTGGGTATGAAGAGATTCACTTGGCATGCGTCCTCTGACATTTGTATAGTTTTTTTAATAGAGAGAGTTCAATCACAAGTGCCTATCAAATGATGAATAGTTATATGCTTGCATTAAGCATGATGAATTAAATGAAAGCACAACTAAAGTTCCAGGGGACCAAGTAACTCCGCTCATTAATACAGTAAGGAAACAAACAGGCATGAACCTCTCATGCATAATATATCACTGTGGGTACTGCGACGTAGAGACATATTCTATATGGTAAAGGGTAAAATATGGTATAAAACATGTGTTGCATTTGCATGACTCATGCCACGGCCATGGCCTAATGCACTAAGAAAGGAACGAAGGGTAATGACTGTGTCATGGCTGAAAGACCTAAGCCAAGGCACAATAATCATCCTAGGTTCACGGCACATTTATACTCTCCCTGTACTTCGACGCTCCATCCCATAGTCACATGTCGTAAGCATGTCCCTTTCGCCTTGTCAAAGCTTAGATGTCCCTATGAATATAGAATTTCATGCCAACGCATGAAGAGTGTAGCTAGGAAAAGAACCTAGGGTGATTATTGTGCCTTGTCTGAAAGGACTAGGCCAAGGCACAATAATCACCCTAGATCCATGACACAATGCTCTTCCATTGATTCGCCGCTTCACCCCATTCTCTCCATGTCATGTCGTGGCCAATCTCCAATGTTTCCCTTCTCCGCTCGTTGCAATGCTCTTCCATTTGCAAAAGAGCCAGTTTACACCACACCATGTCCCTCTTTCAAACCTTGGCTGCACGATGGTGTGTTGGAAGGGTATGTGGGAGGGAGTAGGGATGGATAAGTCAAGTTGCAAACACACACACACCCTGCTCCCTTCTCTCTCTCTCCTCCCTCTCTCTCCCTCCTCTCTCTCTCTCTCTCTCTCTCTCTCTCTCTCTCTCTCTCTCTCTCTCTCCCTCTCTCTCTCTCTCTCTCTTTCTCTCTTGTCAGAATCCCAGTCACTAACCACTGGGATAAAAGGGCTTGTTTATATAGCGGGTGAGTGCGCCCATAACCCCCCAGGCCGACGTGCCTGTAACCCTTCCCTAGGATCATCGGGGATCCCCAGTGGACCTCTGACACCCCCCCGCACTGGGATGCCCGAAGTGCACACACCGGGAATCGAACCCGAGACCTTCGCTCTGATACCATGTCAGAATCCCAGTCACTAACCACTGGGATAAAAGGGCTTGTTTATATAGCGGGTGAGTGCGCCCATAACCCCCCAGGCCGACGTGCCTGTAACCCTTCCCTAGGATCATCGGGGATCCCCAGTGGACCTCTGACATCTCTCTCTCTCTTCTCTCTCTCTCTCTCTCTCTCTCTCTCTCTCTCTCTCTCTCTCTCTCTCTCTCTCTCTCTCTCTCTCTCCCTCCCTCCCTTCCTCCCTCCCTCTCTCTATCTCCTCTTCTCTGTATGTACCGTATCTCTTTTTCACCCACTCTCATATATACACTCTGCACTACTCACGCAAACACATTCATACACGGACACACACAAACACACACACACATATAAATACACGCACACACACACCCTCACACACACTCACACACACAGGCAAACGTATACACACACACACATACCCCCACATGCGCACTTATACAAAGAACCCTTTTGGGGAAATTACATCGTCATCATGACTAAATGTGCATGCATGCGATTTTATCACCAACACCACAAAGAACTAGTCACATACCTATTTCAGAGCCCCTCAAGGCCCCACGCCGGTGTTTGTTGAGTCACCTGCAGGTTACGCATGGTGGGAAAGGTAGATGACGTGTTTGTAACGGTATCATGCGTAGTAAACATATATGGCGCGATGCATAATGTAAACTCTGGATGGGAGAAGCGATAAAATAGTCCACAACCCACCTACGATGAGTCTCCGAGGACGTCGGCTTGTTCTTGGGCGCTTAGAAGGAGTGCATGGGCTGGATGAGATGGCGTGTCGAGATGGTGCCGATTGTGGAGTGGTCGGAGCTACAGTCGGAGGCGCCGCCGCGGCTGCATTCTCATGGGCAGCCTCCTCTCCATCACCATCCAAGCAATTCCATCCCTTCATTATCTCATCCACCCAGTCCCACTTCATAGGCCCAAGGATGCGATCCCTTTTTCCACGCCGGATGCGTGTAGCACGCCTCAGACGAACCTTGGTGGCTATCACCTCCCGGTCCTGCGAGTTGTTCCAGTGTAGTACTGTCAACCCAATGCGTGGCCTCATGCTTCCATGAAAGCGAATCCTTTTTGGAGCGTACTTGCAAATCAAAGAGTGGAACGACTCGTTCATCCAGTTGCTAGCCCCTAGCACGTACGGCTTCATCTGTTCTGGACCACAATTGCAGCCAGCCACTCTTTGAAGGCCTGATGAGTCTTTCAACCACGCTCATAGATCGCGCTTTCCGGCCCCCATCCATCAGAAACACACCTAGGGACAACTCCCATCCGCATGCAGCGCGAGGTCGTGATCCCCTGCCCAGTGATCCGCAGCTAATCCAATCTCCTCGGCCACGTCCACTGCACTCATAGGGTGGCCATCTCGCGCTTTTGCAGCACACCTAGCCATTACATGGTGAAAATGGACGCAAAATCTTTGCGGAACCGTCACCGCACGGGCTGGTGCATCCACTTCATCGTCCTGGCCACCCTCATCATCATCAACGGCCGCTACCTTCCGCTTACGTGAAGGTTCACCCATCTTGGCTTAAGCGGGGCTGCTTGGGGGGGGATTTCACCTGTGTCTTCCCTTGCAGTCATTTGCGTCATGCTATTCTCAATTTCGGCCATGTTCGTCCCTGACAATGGAGTGGGATGAAAAAAACAATGCGTAGCAAATGAGAAAACGGTGTTGTAGTCATCAACAAGGTGGCATAGGTCAACATGCATAGATGCGCGCAAACATGCCATGGCACATGGGGGCAAGATGGCATAGGCTAGCATGTCTTATTGCTGTACATGTCGTGGTGAAGTGTGTGAATATAGCATTGGCATAGGCCGACAAGCACGCATGATAGCCTATGCCATAGTGAAGAGATGTCATGGCACATGCCAGCAGGCCTATGCCAGGGCACGATGAGGCTATATGGCATATCCTACCATGTGTTATTGCAACCTATGGCATGGCATAGGCCAGCCGGCACTAGTGCAAGATGCACAGAGGCTTCATTGTCAAACATTGCATGTTTATATTGTCTAGGCTGTAGTGGGTTACACCTTAGGGGGTACACAAAGTTAGGGTTTCCTACTTGTACCAAACTCTGTTCTAGTTCATTCATTCCTGCTCAGTTATTTCTGACATGGTTTCAGAGCAGGTCCTTCGCTAGGACTGTTCTTAGGGCCCACCGACTTACCTACCTGCTTACCTTCGCTTGTTTCCGGCCCCGCTGGCCCCGTCGATCTAGCACGATCTAGCGGCCCTGCGGCCCCGTCGAATTTTTTTTTTTTTTTTTTTTTCCTAGCGGCCTCTCACGGCCCCCGTCGCGTCGCCCCTTAGCGCCCCGATCGGCCCCGTCACGCCGCCCGCGAACCGCACAGCGCGCCGCGCTCACAGCCCGCGAACCGCCCGCGCACAGCCCGCGACCAGCCCGCGCAGCCCGCGCACAGCCCGCGAACTGCCCGCGAGCAGCCCGCGACCTGCCCGCGAACCCCCGCGAGCCGCCCGCGACCCGCTTACGCAGCCCGCGAGCAGCCCGCACAGCCCGCGCTGAGCCTGCGCGGCTCGTGCGCTGACCGCCGCCGGCCCGCACGCTGCCCGCACTGCTCCCGGCCCGCCGCTGCTGAGCCCGCAGCCGCCCGCGCACCGCCGCTGCTGAACCCGCCGCCGCCCGCGCACCGCCGCTGCTGAGCCCGCCGCCGCCCGCGCACCGCCGCTGCTGCGCCCGCTGCCGCCCGCGTATCACCGCTGCTGAGCCCGCCCCTGCTGCGCCGGCTCTCGCTGCCGCCTACTGCTGCTTGTGCGCCACTACAGTCCGTAGGCCCCACCGGCCCTGCTGACCCTGCGCACGCCTGTTCAGTGACTTTACTGCTTCTACTACTGCCGCTGTCGCTATGGCTAGTCCTCCTGTTCTAGCTTTCGACGCCGAGGGCCGTCCGGTCAAATTCGAAACCTGGCTAGATGACCTGCACCTTTTCCTACAGCTCACTGCCAAGGAAGATATTACACTGTACGACCACGCTCTCGGCCATGCGACCGCCCCACTCGCTACTGCCCCCCCAGCTGAGCGCTCACAGTGGCAGACCCGTGACGCGCACGCTCGCTTTGCTATTCGCAACTCCCTGCCGCTAGATGAGCGCGAGCACTTCGGCCAGTGCAAGACTGCTAAGGACCTCTACACAGCTGTAGTGGCCCGCTACTCCTCACCCGCTTCTGCCACTCTAGGCCGCCTCACTCTCCCCTACCTGTTCCCCGACCTAGCCTCCTTTCACACTGTCGCAGACCTCATCACCCACCTTAAGACTAGTGAGGCTCGCTTTCGCGCTGCCATGCCTGACGAGTTCCTCGCTAGCAACCCCCCCCGCTCTGGATCACTCTCTACCACGTTGTCACCCGCCTCCCTGACTCTCTGCGCCCTGTCAGGGACCAGTTCCTCTCTCGCTCCCCCACTGAGCTCACCATAGCCCTCCTCGAGAAGGAACTGCTTGCAGCCGAGGCTAGTATCGTCGCTGTAGGCACCTCTCGTGGCGACCCCCGCGGCCCCTTCTTCGAGGGGTGCTCCCCTTCCCCCCTCCTCCCCTCTGTCGCCTCTGCTGCTGCTGTCGACCTCCTTGGTGCTGAGAAGGTCGGGGCTGCGTCTGCTTCAGGCGGACGACGCAGGGGCAGGAGTGGCAGGAGTGGGGGTGGTGGCGGAGGAGGCGGGGGTGGAGGTGGTGGCGGTGGAGGTGCGACTGGAGAGGCTAGTGGCGGCGGTGGTGGAGGCGACAGCGGAGGCGGAGGTGGTCGTGGCAGCGGCAGGGGTGGAGGTGGCCGGGGCGGAGGCGGAGGGGGTGGTGGTCGTGGAGGCCCGG